TTTATCAGCATGACATAGTCCTCGGGATCCATCTCGGTTTGCAATACCATGAGCCTTACACATTGGGATAATTAATCTAGTATAGGTTAATTAAATTGAAGTCATTCAGGGTTTTTTCCTAGTTTTACCACAAAATAATTAAACAAGGTGGCCGACTCACACACTCACGTGTGCAAATTTCTTTCTTTTGTCATTATGCCATTCACTACGCTATGATATTTGGGGAAAGGGGTTCACAGTTTTGGCGACTTCAACTGGGGATGTAATGTAAATTCATTTTGCATACAGTGGACTACGAATTGTTGTGTAAACTAACCCACCCTTCTTTTTAGGGTATTATTTTACAATGCTTTGTTTTTGCAGATATGAATCAATGTGGTTCTTTCGTTAGAATACTTGATAATGGAAATTCCGGAATTAAATTTAATGTGATTAAGACATTTAAAACTTGTTTGATTTATTTTGCACGATTGGGATCTTTTTTTCTCCATTGCATAAAAAAAATGAACCTCAAAATGATTATTCTTCTCTTCTGTTTCAAACTTCTGAGTCTGGATAGTCAAAGTAGCGCTGTCGGCAGGTCTCTTTGATTATGCGCGACAGACAGCCAAAGCGTGCCTCACTGTTACCGCAAACCATCTCTAATCCTTTTGGAGGTGGCAACATGGGTATGCGTACCGTTGGACCCAAGCGAAACTCCTTGTTTCACATGTGGGTTAGGTAAATATCCATACTCAAGGTTCAAGGGTCCCTTAATAAGGCCGATTCTCTATTTGTGTCATACGCCTATAGAACCTATCCTTTAGGACTATATGCACCCAATGGTACGAATCATCTCATTAAATAAATTAATGAACGTTTTGTTGTGCGCATTCATGACATACATAAGCATTAAAAAAAAAAAAAAAGAGAAAGAGAGTGGAGAGACACAAAAATATCCTTCTGTTTGTCAGTCATGCACAGTTGGACAACGAGTCCCGGTCTACGCTGATATCAGTTTAACTCTGGACATAACAAATACCGCCACTATAACCCTAAAATGGCGATTACCCTAACAGCTTACAGTACCAGTGCGCCCCTGTGCAAGCGACACAATAAATACTCAGACACAATCCTACAGTGCTATCACCAACCTCACTACACCGATGGCATCACTAGCTGACATCGCAAACCCCTCCATGGAAACAAATGGAACAAATACAGGCTAGGATGAATGAGGCATTGGTGCCCAGAACCGCACCTATTAGCTGAACTAAGTGGTGGTAATGGAAGTGGGGCTTCCGCTGGGGGGAGTGGTCCTGCTGCCTCCACCAAGGACCTGGCTCTGGCGCCTTACGTTTTTCAAAACCCTAACCTTGGATGAAATGCCTCCCCAAACTGCTTTCTGAGCTGGAAGCTCAAAAGATGAGAGAAAAAAACTGGAATTAGCCTAGACCCAGGTCTGTTACTGGGCTCTAAAAAGACCCACAAGGGAAGTGGTGGGACATGGACTCTTTGGTCCTTGTTCCCCGAAGCAAGATTGCCTACTAAGTTCAAAAATGCCACATGGACAAGTTTGATGGAACCACTGTCCTAAAACAACACTTGAAAATGTTATGTGGGCGCCCTTAACCCCATTTGGATAAGCAGCGAGCTCCTTGCTCCAGTTGTTCCACAATCCCTGACTGGTGCTGCTTGAGATGGTTTGGTCAGTTTGGACCGCGCTCTAAGATGAAAACCTGGAAGGAATGTTTGCAATGCCTTTTAATTCTCAAGTATCAACTATAATATAGAAGTGATGTTACTCGAAGAGACTAGAAACTACCAAACAAAAGAAAATGAACCCTTTCCCTCGTTCCTTAACGAGGTGGAGGGCCAAGGCCGCCCAAATGATGCAATCGACCTTCAGAACAAGAACAGGTGGACCCATAATCTTAAAAAAACTTGTTGCGCTGTCTATGCAACAACATTTTTTTTTATGTTTACAGACTCAATATCTACCATCATTCCAGTCGGCTGCATTGGCCACTGCTACAAAGGTGGAGGATTTACTTCATGGGGCAACTTAAAGAAAGAATCGGGGGGCCTTCAAAATACAAAAAACCTAAAGTTCAAGTTAGCAAAGTCCACGAAGTGGCAAGCATTACTCCACAAATCCTCTACGTGTTGGGAAATATGAAGAAGCTGGCAGTCAAAGTCAGAAAGAACCTACACTGATCTCGGAATGCCAATCCTTTTGGTATTCGCCGAGAGGCTGTTAAAGCAAACTATATCAAAACCTTTGGAAGCAAGACGCACCACCGCAACTCCACTACCAGGAATTACAAAGCCGATGAATATTGTTGAGTAATCATCAGGGATATGGGGCAGCAAGACTGAAGCATGTTTGGACCGCTCAAAAATCGCATCCAAGACCTAGTGGATAATGGTTGATTATTCCACGAAGCAAACCAAACATTAGCACTAACCCTTTACCAAAAATTCACGGGGGTAATGCTATTGTTTCTGACCAGAATTGATCGATTGCTTCGAGCTATTCTTGAATGAAATGAAATTCTGTGTCCTAGACTCTGAAACTGACCTAGTCTGAGGAGGTCGATGCTATACCAGAAGCGGGAGACAGTATGGAACCCTTTAAGTCTTGGAACAAAATTACAAATAATCCTCCAAAGAACAGAAGGAGAAGGAGGATCCGGTCCTATCACAATTAAAAAAGACACAAGCTAAGGTTATCATCTGGGAACTTTTTAGCCGTCATCTTTTTCCTCATCGCCAAGCTCTTTGCAAAGGCTTTGAAGCGCAACTTCAGACATCGGTAGAGGTTGCCCTAAGTGCTAAAAGTGTCCACCCTCCCACTCAATCACTGCTAAATACAAAGCATCGGGTTTCTCTGTTATGATGACCTATCCTAAGGAGGGAGGCAAGTCAAACAACGCTCTTTAATGTCACCATTCAGACGTAGAGACAAAACTGTACCCATGGGTTCTCATTGACAATGGGTCAGCATTGGAACGTCTGCCCACTAAGGGGTAAGCCAGCTGTTTGGGTTAGAAAGAGACTAGATTTCATTTCCATCTGACCAGAATTTAGTGAAAGCCTATGATAGTACCGGAAGGGAAAGTATTGGGGTTTGCTATGCTAAAATTGACAATGCGGGCCAGCTGTTGAGGAAGTCCCATTCAGGTAAATTGATGTAGCCGAACCAGCTTTAATCTACTTTTGGGTCGACCATGGATCCACCATGCCAAGGCAATACCTCGTCTTAACAACCAAAAAAAGTCAAAGTTTTCTTTATGAGACCAAGGTTATTACTATCCAGGGA